AAAAAGTAGATATTAATATTACAACAACACTACATAAAGTATATTCATTTGCTTCAAATTAAAATGAGTTAATGGGTTTTAAAAATGATTTGGCATTTAAAATTAAAATTATGAAATAATTTGATTTATTTAATTAATTTGTTAATTTGTTTAAAAAAAATAAAATAATTTAATTAATTCAATATAAAAAATAAAAAAATTATTTAGTTTCGGATCTTCGGTTCTTGTTCTAGCCCCGAGACCAGACCCAAACCCATCGATTCTCGATTCGGATACCCGTTCGGGTATTTAATTTGTGAAGAACCGTTTGATTCGGTTCGGTTCAATTCGAGACTTTTGGACACCCTTAGGTTTCAATCTCGCTTGGTGGTACCTCTCTCATGATTGTTGACTCAACATTGATTTCGTACTTGAGTTGGATTTCTTAGAATAAAAAATTATCCATCGAGTCATGTAATTCGAAAAAAATGTATATTATGATTCATCTTATAAATTTGATATAAACTACCGAATCCTCATTCTTTACTCGAATTAAGAATTGACTATAAGAAATTCGAATAAATTGGATATAAGAAATTTAATATCAACCTTGAGATGATAAATAAGAAAAGGTGATACATAGACTCTCTCTCTACGTATCATCAATATAAAAGTTGCAATATTGAGACAACTTGAGAAGTATATATATGATGGGCAACTACTGGAATCCATTATAATTGCTTAAACTAGTGGTGAATGCGGCTCTTATGCACGTTCTTACCAGTAGCAACCCACTGTCTTCCAAAAATTAAAAGAATTCAGACAAGATAAGCTAAGAATAATTTTTAATAAATATGTTTGATTTCAAAATGAAGTAAATCTTTTTAGTATCTATAAGAGTCAACTTCTAGAAGCCTGTAATGGGGCAAAGATTTGGGTTGACTTTGTTGTTTTAAAACCTCATTAGTTACTGAGAATGGCTTCTGGGCCTTCATCTGGTTCAATGTTTATTAGATCGAGAACAATCCGAGTAGTCATTGCTCATTTATGAAAATTATGTACGTAGGACTCTGGCAAAAAAAAAAAAAAAAATTTAACATGCACGTAATGGGTTGTATTAATATAATATTAATAAATAAATAAATTCCATTTCTAAAAGCTCAAGAGTTGAGAGGTCCGTAATTCGCATAATATCAAGAAAATGTCAGGTTCAAGTCTTTTCATCGTCTAATTATGAAAATTGTGGATAATGTCAAGATTTTGACAGAAATATGAATATTTGCAGGTGATCAAGAGACATATTTACAAAATTTAAATAAATAATTTGTTTCTCTTTCTAAAAGCTAAAACTTTTAATGAGGTGGTTGATGCTATATCAAGAAAATTTCTAGTAAATTATGCACGTGTCAACATTTTGGTGAAAAACTAATTTGAAAATGCCGAGATGCACTTTTAACAAAAAAAACTTAAACTTCTAGACATGTTAGTTTTGATGTTATATAATTGTTGGGACCCCAACTCAGACGTAGAGGACAAGATATCCTCAATGACAGTGATTGTTCCAAATCTCAGTCCCAAACCATCTGGTCCTAGCTATTGCAGACAATGGGAACTCCGACGAAAGCCGTCCCGGCTAAGCCAGTTCCTACAGGAATGCCATTAGGATTCACTGTTGGGATTGCACCATTAGCATTAGGTATAGCCAACCATTCTTTGGGGGGAAGAAAACTAATAGGTCTAGCAAAGGGCACCTGCCCAGTATAAATGTTGCCTAACATGCCAGTGATTGGTCTGGCTGTAGGGTTACTGCCTCCTAGAATGTCATGTACGTAAAATTCAAGGACCGGTTCTCCTCCAGCTCCGGTTCTGGCTGTGGTGGCTGCTGTTGGTTCGACTGCATACGCAATTCGTCCCACATTGATGGGTAGCAACAATATTGCCAAGAAAGAATGCTCTGATGACTATGATTGCTGGGTGGACATTCTTATTAAACCTTGTACAAGAGAGATGTTTCTTTTACAAAATTTTGAACTGTGTGTTATCTTAGGTGATATACAAATAGTATTGCTTTATATATACTAGAGAACAACATAAAGAAGTTGTTGCAGCATGCGGGTTCTTCGCTAGGTTATGACACATGGCATCAGTTGTTGAGTTGGGATGAGTGCAAAAGGATCTCAACCATCCATTCATCATAGGGACAGTGAGTTTCAGGTGTAGAGGGTGAGGGAATTTTTTTCCCCAATCTCCATGTGCTATAGATTTTGGGAATTTTTAGCAGAAGAATAAACATCTAAGATGACGTTGGGATTTCTTAACGATGTCCTCCAACACTCAAGTCAAAGTGTTAGATGAGGAATCTAAACATCATTCAATGAATACACATTGATAAAGATTTTGAGACTACTTATAGTTATCTAAATCTCTCAAATTTAAGTATTACTTTCTCCAAATAACTTATCTTTCTATTCCAACTAAGTTTATAATGACAAATCTTTTGATTATATTTTGTAAGATTAGATTTACATAATTAGTGAAATTTTATTTTAGAGAAGTCCAACCTCATACCTGATAGACCAGCAATGGAGCCAACCCAATATTGAAGTTGCCCAAGGCTCGGGCCAAGCACTTGCTGCAGCCACCCTAAATGCTGTACCCACTTTGGCTTACGAGGATATACCAGCCCCGAATGAAGTGACAATCGATCTATGTATGCTTCGCTTCGTCCATTCATTACAGATAGGATTAGTAGAAATATCGATTTTAGCTTGATTATTACATAACATACTCCATTTGATGATGTTCAACAAGTTTCTTATTACCTCCACATATGCGTGAAGCAAAATTCTAGATATAGGCGAAGAGAAATGTGATTGAGTTTGTCCAAGTTTTTTATTACATGTCATGCGTTGGCTGTAATAAAGGAACTGAAGATAAATACAATGAAATCTTCGTTTGTATATATTGCAAAAGCCAACGGTTTGATTTGTTGGTCTAGCAACCAAGTCCCAAACATTATTTCTTTCAAATTGATTAAGTTCATCTTGCATTGCTAGAATTCAAAACTCACCAAATTCCGCTTCTTTAAAGTTTTTGGGTTTAATTTGTGCAATGAATGCACAACTACCAACATGATTTCTAAGAGAAGGCCAACACATATATAACAGAGACCGCATCGTACGACGAACTGTACCATGATATACAAAACAAGTTGAACGTCGATTCATCTCCATACAATATGGTACTGAGATATCAATTCCACGAGCATTTGCCATTTTCAATTCCACCTGCAAATGTTACATCTGATATT